TATTCTATATTTTATATATAAATCTATGCACAAATATAAAATAAGCATTGAATAATTTTAAAAGAATTGCAATTATTTTCTTTTTTTTTGTAGATTTCAACAAAATTGTAATAAAGATATGAATTTGAATTGAGAATTATTCAAACGATAAATTTAAATTTGATTAAATGATGGTAATTGCACTATACATATCGATAAAAACTTCCATATTTTTTCGAATTTTTGATTGAATATTTCACGGCAAAATATGAAGTTGTATTCTTGATACGAATAATGAATTGTTTCGAAAAATTCAAAAAAAAAATGCCCAAGTATTAGAATTTATTTCAAGAAGGTTTGCTAAGCTTAAAAGCTTTGTTCGATTATTAATTTAAATTCACTTAATGAACAGCACATTTGTTCATTATCATTCTTTCAAATAAAATGGTCTGAACTTCAATATTTAAAAAAAAGCATGTACCAATATTATTTCAAATATTTTAAAATTTAATAAGTGATCAGTTGAGGGAAATATTTATCTGATGAATAAGGCTTTGCCGAAGAAGCTCTGTTGAATATGAACAAAGTGTAACATAAAAGCAATGACAAATTCTTCGTAATTACTTCAATAATTAATCTAATAAATTCCTTAATTATTTCAATGCTAAATGAATCAGTTTCAAAAAGTGTCGAAAACCAAAAAAAAAAAAAATTTAAATAAATTTCAGAATGTATGAAGATTCCAACCGTTCTCTGAATGCTAGAGCCAAATCAACGATATTTTCATTTTTTTTTTTTTCAAATACCTAAAAATTAAATTCAGATTATTGTGTGGAGACTTTGCAAGATAATAATAAAATACAAAGAATAAAAAAAAAAAAAGAAGTTCAACCTATTTGTCGCATTCCTAGCATTATCGAGAATGACAATAGCTTTGAAATGATAATCATAATTATGTCTACTATAAAATTTATCACTTTAACACCAATCATAATTCTGATTCCAATTATGACCGGGGTCAATTGAGAAGAATGCTTACAGTATGTGGAATCTAAATTAGTAGCATACAGTCAATAAATCAGTAAAATAAACAGTAATGCTGCATAAGATATTGTTTTACTCTATAAAGTACCGTTTTACTCCATAATGATCGGTAATATTCGATAAATGGTTTAGCCCCGTATCGGAAATGTTAAATAATTTTGTAACATGAAAACACTTTAACTAATTGAAGTATCTTTATATTCTTAATATCATTACTGTAAAAATTGTTTGTGTTAAACATTTTCAGTCAAATGGTAACATATGATTTGTTTATTATCTTCACGAATGATTCCAAAAGATATCTGATAGTAATTGTTATCAAATAATTAAATGATTCGTTATCATTAGCCTTTTTTATCAGATGACCAATTGTTTACTTTACCATAAACGATGTTAATCGAGTATCGCCAACTTGAGGGGAAGCATATTTTGGTATAACTTACTACTCTGAAACACTCTCTGGATCATTCATTATCTCAACGAGCAGTCTCAAATTATTTTCTCGGATCAATGGTAATCGATCATTCTCGAAATTATATATAAAGATGGTTTTACACAGTTGCCGAAAGCTTCATTTTCGTCTGTATTAGAAAATTCTTTTTAGATTTAGCTTAGAAGATACTTTTACAGATTTATGGTAGATTTTCCTGGTCTATCCCAAAAAATAATTTAAGTTTCAATTTGACAATATTCCATTCCATTTCGATCTAAATCTCAAAAAAATCTTTGCAAAATATTTTTGCTTACAATTCAAAAATAACACCACTTAAAATCACAATGAAAGGAGAATACTTACATTTCAGAAAAATTTTTCGAATCGTGAAACGATCAAAAATTTATTCTATCTGTGAATTTTCCAATTTCAATAGTATGAATTGAATTATTATGCAAAATATTCGCGCACTTGAATCGTTTATTGTTAAATTTAATAATAGTAATACTCATACTTTTCATTTAATTTAAGTATTTCTTTGAATAACTAAATAACTTCATTTCTGTGTTGCAAATATTATTTTTGAATGAAGTGAATAATTTCATTTTATAATTTATTACATTTTCAAATAAAAACAGTAATGGAGGGTATTACATTTTCAAATAAAAACAGTAAAGATGACAAATTTACACAACTGAAAATTATATTCAAGCAGAAATATGAAATTATGAAAATTTTCCTATATTTATACTCTTTGCGATCATTTCTATTGCACAAAATCAATGACGTCAGCGATTAGTTGTCAAAGAAAAGAAACAATGAAACACAATTAAAGGACATTTTTAATTTTCACATTTTGAATAAATTATTAAATTCTTAAACAGTTTCATTGTGTTCATCAAATTATTCGGCCTACAATATTCGATGCAAATTTTATCGTTTTTTTGCAGATAGAAAAGTTGCACTGTAATTGGAAAAATTACATTGCAAAAATTTATATTTGCATTGAAAAGCTGCATTTTAATTTTATCGCTTAACAGTAATTTGAAGTTTTTTTTTTTGCGAATAAATTAATATTCATTTAGAATTATAAAATTTGCATAAAAAATTATTGGAAATCGGATAATTTGATGAATAAGTGGAGTTACTTAAGAATTTAGTAATTTATCTAAAATGTAAACATTAGCATTCATGTTTTAATTGCGTTTAATTTCAACCAGAAATGTTTTCGAATAATTTTAGTAATTTATTTATAATTTTTCTCCCCAACTATTTTAACTTGTTCTATTCTAACTTGGAAACTACTAATTGAACAAGATTTTAACGAAATTTCACGGTAAAAAAAATTCAATCCTTAAAATTACTTATTTATTGTTGTAGAAGAAGTAGAAAAAAATTTAGTAATGCCGTCTGTTAATTATTGTATACTTATTGAACAGCATAAGAATAACTAACAAAAAAGTAATACTAACTGTGTAATATTTTGCATTCTTCATATTGCCTTAGAATGATTCATACATTTGTTATTATTTTTTCGATCAAATCGAAAAATCAACTTTGTTTTTTTTTTTTTATTTTAAAAACTAAAATTTAAAAATAACACATGCAAAGCTTTCAATTAACTTTCGTTTTTTATTAAATTTGCGACGTTCAGTGAATAATGATAACAAACATATTGACATTTTCATATATATTTATAAATGAGAAAGAATAAATACTTAAAACTGCCAAACTAACAATTAAGATTAGTTTGGATATTCATTCCATTAAAATGACCGACCTGATCTGAATTGATACTTGTAAAAATTTCACTTTTCAGCTCAATTGGATAGTTATTTCTTTAATTTTTTTGCAGAAATTTATGAAATATTACATGCATTTGGATTGAAAGAAAAAATGCAACTTAAATTTTGGAATAAATTCCAGAAAATGCTTAAACTTCATTGATTCCATTTCATTTGAGAAAGTCAATTAGTTTGATCTAAATCAAGTTTCATTCAATTCAATTAAAATTCAAATAATTACATTTAATTTCATTTTTTCAAATTCGAAAAGTTTCCTTGCCAACAGTAAGAATGTTCAGTCATAAGTCATAAAAATTATGTATTGACCAATTTTTCTTTTTGAATTTCGTGATAAACTGAACTAGAAGTATTGAGGAAAGTTAATTTCGCTATTTACATTACACCAATTAGGCATTAAAAAAAAGGAACAAGCAGGGCCACAAAATGTGTAATTATTGTGGCCACTGCTTGTGGAAAAAATTTAAAAAAAAAATCATATTGTAATTTTTTTTTGGAATGATATTTAATTTCGTCCTTCTTTCATCGAATAAAAAAAAAATAATAAAAAATTTATATTCAAACATTTTTGTTTATTCAAGAAAAAGGCTGAAGTATCATAAACCATCACAAATTTTTGAATTCAAAAAAGATCGAAACATAACTAAAAATCAATGTTCGAATTATTTTTTTGACTGGAAAAGGATTTATTTATATTCCAAAATAAAGATTGCCTTTTTTTGTTAGGAAGAAAAGACAATTGTTATCACCGATTCATCGATCTGCGTCAATCGATCAACGACGTTATGTGCTAAGTTCACAAGATGATGATGCAACATTTCGGCTTGATGGATATTTGTCGAAGAATGCACTCCGCGATGGCTTCAATAATACGGTAGAAATTAGCGAGACGAAAAATGATTCAATAACAAGTATGAAATTCTTCCAAACTGCAAAAAAAATACATTCATCAAATTGCTTAAAAATTATGCATCTAAAAAATAAAATTCTGCGAAATCAGCAAATATTAAATATTCTACTTTGGATATACAATGGATTATATTTTATCAAAAATATCAAAAGTCTAATTTTTAATAACAAGCATTATTTAAATTGCATTATATTAAATTTGAAGTTATCCTTACAAAAATTTATTCTTTATAGTACAGTCATAAAAAATAAATTTTCTCTAAATTGTTTTTTTTCTAAAATTTTAAAAAGGCTTTTTTTTCAAAAATTTGCATTCGATTAAAGACTTATGTGATCAATGATTGCAATGAAGATATGATAAATATTCCGGAAAAAAATAAAAAGGAATAATTTAAAAAAAACGGCAATTTTCAGCTATTTATTGATATGCAATTATCATGAGTGTCTTTTCGCGATAATAAATCAAATTTCATGATATTATCAGGAAGAGTCCAGCTATTATGCAGGATCAGTCTTATAATATTAATAATCAAACCCATTTATAATTACTTGATAAAAGAACTAGTAAACCGATTAAGATGTCTTTTATAACAAATTCATATTTTCCCGCATATAAATTTAATCTAGTAAAAGTATTATTAGCACTAACAAAATGCTGTTTCAAGCGGTGGTAACACAGTACCACATCCAAATATGCCAGCTCGAGCCAGAATATCGAAAATTGGCTGCTGTATGCCATAAAACATGAAATAGAAATCAAGCAAGCGAAAAACGACAATATAACGATATGGAATTAATTCATCCTGAAGAATGAATTGATCAATCAATGTAAGTAATCGATAATTCATATACGATGTAAAAAAGGTGCAAACTATTTATTTTCCTCCTCATTTCATTCATAATTTAAATAATTAATCAATTGATTAATAAAAGAGAAAGGACGAAGATAAATGATGGAAAAATAACAAACTGATTACATCATTCATATTATTAACTATTCTCTCCTTTTCTCATTCAAAGTTAAATTAATTGCCTAAAAGTTTTTATACTCAAATTAATTAACTGACCAAATTTGAAACGGTTGTTACAAGTATATGCGTACCGTAAATACCAATTAGTAAGGATGGAAGGGATACTAAATCAAGTATTTTCAGTGCTCTGAAAAGACGTGTAGGTCTGATTAATATACAATAGATACAATGAAGTCAATTTTTTAAAAATTTTTTTTTTTCCAGGAAAATTCCAGTTAAAAATGTTCACTTTCGCAATTATTTTGAATTTCAAAATTTCCACTTTGCGCTAAGTTATGGAATTTATTGTGATACAAGAAAATAAATTTCGACTAAAAACAAAAAACTTCAGTTCTTTCAAAATTTGATAGAAAAACAAAGAAGTACATAAAATATTAAAATTATGATCTATTTCATAGATTTCAGTGTTAATAAGTGCACCAATTCCAAACTAACTGCAAAGTATGTAGGAATTCTAAATAATTTCTAATATAGTTAATAGGTTTGAAGGTGAAATTTTGAAACAAATAGGTTACTCACATAATAGCACCATCTTGATATTCAAAATAAAGTATTAAGCTTAAAATTGTAAATGTAAGCCTAATACATGGAGTTTGAAAGACCATCATTTCACAGAATCGTATTCGACCTCTGTAATAGAAAAACTTATTATTTAATTTAAATTATTTATGAATAATATTTTGAGAATAATCAATTATGCGAATTCAATTTTAAGATATTCGAATTCTTAAAATTAAAAGTTAACGAAAAAGTAGAAAAGAATGTTTTTTATAATGCAGTGCATAGTCCAAAAACATTTACAACTATAAAAATTTATTTCGAAAAATTAATGTTGTGAAAACTAATTGAAAATTTAATCCGACAGCAGAGTTAATTAAGAGGTTACATAATTGATAACCATGTAAATTTTTTATGCAATTGGCTATTTTATTTACTTATTCTACGTATACTTCACAATTTGATTTTGTCATATTGGAGCTTATCAAGCTGTTTCAAACATTTCATTTAACAACTGATATTTTTCATCACAAAAATTTAGGATACCTTAAATTACAATTATCGTTCCATTCTTTCTGATTATTCTTTCATTTTTTATCAGTGATTTAAGTTTTCATAAATAAAAAGAATGAAAAATTGAATTAATATATCCGAACAAAACTACGTCATTCGTGTAAGTAATTTAATATTTCATGCTTAAAAAAAATTTAATTAAAAACTATCTTACTGATCAAGTTCAAGCTTTGGAAGACATGGAAAGACACAACAGAGTGGCGGTGTTTGTACGCTTATCCTCGAACAACCGTTTTTCATTTTTTTCACCATTTTTTGACGTCCTTCGAAAATATTCATCAAAAGACATATAATCACCCATAATGCTATTGAAAAATATCTATAAATGATAAAAGATGGAATTATGAAATCCCAAAAATTATGTGAAAAAATTTTGAGCATGTAGTGATAAAATTCGAAGTTAAGGAATTGATAAAAATTCTGAGCATATAATGAAAAGTTGGAAGTCAAGGAGTTTAGGAAATTTTAAGCATATAATGATAAGTTAGAAGTTAAACAACTGATAATAAAATCATATTATCAAGATTTTGGCGAAAATTTTCCAAAACTTTATCACTTGCAAAGGAAATCTCTGATTTCTTATAAAATTTTTAAATGAAAAAAAAAAAACGAAAACTACTGAATGATCAAAAAATTAAGAAAACTTCAGTCAAACAAATAAATTTTGATTTGTAATAAAAGAATTATTCTAAAGTTTTCAATTTCTTTTTTTCTTTGAAAATTTCTAACATTTGTTTTAGTTAAAAAAAAGATAACCAATATGTAAATCAAGAATATCGATAATACTATCAAATATTATTTGCTAAAGAAATGATATAAATTAAAGTTAAAGAGATTATGGCATACTGTATTCGAACGATTAGCAAAGTTTTTTGTTTTTTTATTAATTCAGTAGATGTAAATGTTAAAGATATTACTATTTCAAGGATATGAAATGGCATATAAAAATTGGAATAGTAATTGAAATAGGTGGAATAATTCGAAAAAATTATAACCAACATAAGAGATGGAATTAAATGACCATTTTTCGAAGTTTAGTAAAATTTGATACCATAAAAATGAACAGTTGTATTTTTTAAAAAATCTTAATATCATAAAATATATGAAATTTGAAATGAAAACTTACAAGAAACCAAGAAGATGAGAAAGGAACCATAGCCGTGGCATATACATAGAGATCAATGAAAGCACTGATACAAACTAAAATTCAATATTAAAATTTCTAGGAAATAACTACATTTTTTTTTCATTCTAAATAATACATAGCAAATATCTCTTCATTTATCATTTTTCTTTTTTTCTCAATTATAAATATCCTAATTATGCTAAAAAGATGGATTTAAATTTTGAGTAAATTTAAAAAGATATTTCAATTATTCTTCACTCTTTTAATACTCTTCTATCATATATGATTGTACAATAAACATATCGCCTTTTGTGTTACTCAAAAGTTACACAATTATAAATAAAACTAAAAAAATGGCTTTCTATTCGAATCAATCTGACAAGCACTTATTTTAATCATTCATGATACTATCCAATTGATAGATATCACCATACATGATATATGATATTATCAGATGATACTATCCAATTAATACTTCTCATATTATCTCCTATTATTAATTATCAAATTTTGTTAATTTTTGTTCCAAATTTAACATAAATTATTACTTTGGGTTAATAACTTCATGGAAATTAATAAACAATGTATAATTAATACAATTGCAGAATTGTAAAGATATGCTAACCGGTGCAGTACCAGCCAGATAGACGATAAATGCTCGTCGATATCGCTGTGTAACATAAAATGATGCATAAGCAATATGTAAAACACCGAGACATACAGTGATCAATGAGATAAGAGTTGATCCTAGCAGGACCACAATAAATGTCAATTCAATTCCTACAAAATTAATGTTTCAAGTCATTCCAAAATATCTGGCTAAATGCCAGCAAAAGCTAAAAGTGCTAAAACATTCCGATGAGATATTTGGCCAAATTTCAATGATGTGCTTATAATGTTTGATAAAAGGCAAGCATCTGGTAAAATTGAAAAAGTTGAACATTTGCGTATAATAAATAAGACTGGCAAAAAACGAATACTTAAAGAAACCCAAATGACACTTTCAAATTTGTTTAACATTTAAAGTTTGGAAAGGCGATTTAAAAATGGAAAAAAAGAAAAACATACTGGATAAATAAACTCGAGCACTTACTATTCCAACCGGTCCATTTGTACAATTCAGTAACGAGTCAGTTACAAGTTTCATAACCGTTTGAAACATTTTCCGCTGAAGGAAAACAAAATAAATAAGTAAATAGCAAATTGTCTTCACCTAATATTTATAGATATGAAATATTGACTTTTTTCTTTGCTCTGTGTGTCCTTAACTAAAAGACACGAAATATCGACTTTTTCTTTTTCTTTTTTTTAAAAAATATTAACAAATCAGAAAATTAAAAAGGAATAATTTGCAATATGATCAGTGATAAATATTGAATAGTGATAGCAGCTGTTATTTTCCGTAACTTCATATGAATAAATATGTCGAGAATACTACTGATAATGTGATAAATGAATAAGAGAAAATGAAAAAGTACGAAAAGTCAAAGTACGGAAAGTTATTAGAAACTAAGAAGTTAAAAAAAGAAAGAGTTAAATTTTTCAGAAATAATTGATTTTTTTGGCGAATATTCGAGAAAAATTTTCAAAGAGAACATGAAATGATTAAAAGCATTTTACTTTATCTTTAACGGTGAAGTTGATCCATTAAACAAGAATGATTCGATAATTTTTAATGAATAAAAGATGAGTTATAAAAATAATTATTAACAAATTTAGATAAAAGATGAGTCATATAAATTCTTATCAAATTTAAATGAAATTTAATGAATAACCAATCAATATTGGTTTTAATGCTTATACACTACAAACATAAAGTATAAATGAGTCGTTGTTCTTTTTCCCTTTTCTTCTTTCATAGATATCCTTTGAATTTTATGATCGAATACTGATTACGATGATCGTTGACCCTTTAATTTACAAGCTGTGTATTTATTCTTAGAAGACAAAATTGCTAGTTTAAAAAGGAAAAGTAAGAGAAAATGGGTAATAACTTATTGCTTTATTCTGAAAATATGAATATATTTTCGGTCCTAATTTTATTTCCTTTTTTTAATGTCTCTCTTCACAATACTTTCCACATTATACATATTCTATCACCAATATATTTTAACAAAAAACCGCAGTTAATTAAAATGTGAGACAAAAAGAAAGGAGAGAAAAAATAAAAATAATCAAATGTAATGTATGCCAACAATTACAGATGTATAAGGTAATGTAAGAAAAAAATTATGTTGGGAGATGTAAAACATTATTGATTTTAGTTCAATAAAATTTGCTAATCTATAAATATTAAAATATAAGCGAGAGTCTATCACGTTATTATGATTAATTATCTGAAAAAAAATCTTTTTAAAAAATTTAAATGCTATAATTATGCGCTATTTCAAGAATATCTATGCCGCCTACAAGCAATAATATCATGTAATCTATTCTATCCAATTATGCTAAATATGATAATGATCTTTTAGCTTTTCAATCATAGCAAATATCAGGGCCATTTTCAAAAGGATACCGGGTTAATTTTCTACTACTCGGAATAGATAGGATGATAAACTGACTTAAATAAATCATTTTGATATATATTCAAAACGGTTAAAAAAAATTGTTAAAAGACTGAAAATAAATACCGTTAAGCAATAACAACTAACAATATCAATCGAATAACTCAAATTAAACAAATTTTTTAGATGAGTAATGATCATCACAGCAATGAATATTAGTCAAAAAAATGTCATAATAATATATTTGATATTGGTATATTTAGTAGTTTTAGTGAATCGAAAAAAATTCTTTCAAGCATAAAAACAGCTAAGGTGTAGCAAATAATTACCATGCTAAACTAAAGGAAATCTGAAATAGTAATTACAAATAAGGGAAAAAAATTTGTTTTAGTGAAATAAAAGTAAAATAGTAAAATCAATGAATATATATTGAATCAAAAAAGTTAGCAATAAAATGCAAAATAATTCAAACTTAAAATTTTTCATGGAAAACGAAAACTGTCTATATACATATTCGTATATATACTATATATACTAAGCATCAATAAATTGTTTAATTGATTTTGAGTTTGACTAGCCAATAGCAATAAATTAGACAGGAAGATTTGATATTAACAAGTAATTTTGAAAACAAAATAAAATACAGACCACTCCTTACGGTTACAATTATTGAAATGAAGTAAAAAAGAAAGGTTTGATAACAATTTTCGATTTTTTTTAATCAAAAAAGTGTATAGCAAAACACTTAGACATACTTACAGGGTGCGATTAATTTGATATGAATGAATAGTGAAAATTAATAATGAAATGCTGTCAATATATGAGATGAATAGGAGAGAAAAATAACATAGTCTTGAATTCAACTCAATTGTATTATGCATTACTGTAACATGTAGAACAATTTATGTATGCTTGATAATATAATGCAAAATTATCAATCAAACCTTTTTAAATACTACACAATTTTATCCATAGCTTTTTCTTTTTTATAATTTTGTCGAGCTCATTATCTTAACGGCTTATAAATTCCGAGAGATCCGATAAAATCCTTCCCTGATTCTGCCCGGTTTGCAATTTCTGGATTAGTATAGAAGTCATAACAGTAATAATATGTGTGTACAAAATTTTTCAGAGACAGAAAACATAATATTTTCGAAGAAAATGGAAGAAGGGCGGAAAGAAAACGATTTGCAAAATATTTTAGTCAATGAGTCATTGAACACTTTACTGCTTTCAGTATATTCTTTTTAAATATTTCTGATAATATAAGTCTCAAAGATCATTGTTGTCACAATATCAACAAATGTGAAAAAGAATTCTTTGCTTTGTCTTTTCCACTTTTTTGAACAGGCGAGCATTTGAAAAATATACATATATGATGAATAATCAAATAATATAAATCGATAGATGAAAATGATGAAAATAATAAATAAATGGATGAACCAGGAAGGAAAAACAAAAATAACATAATGTATCAATGAATTCTGGATGTTAATTGTAATTATTTAAGATACAAATTGATAACATGAAGTAATCAAATAATGGAAAATATTAATTTTACCAATAGTTTGGAAGAAAAATTCTGGTAAAAATGCTAACAATATTAGAAATCAAACCTTTAATGAATTAAACGTTTCCTTCTATATAAATCGTAGTTTCAAATAAATAAAATATCTCTGATCGTTCATTTTGTTCATTTGATATCTAAAATATTTGAAATGATATTAGATATTTATAAATCAATTTTTCTTACGCCATATTTCTTCATCGCTTCTACATAACTTTCATTCTTTCGCAATCAGAGATTTTTTTACTTCTCTTTCCGTTTATTTCAAATGTTATAATTGAAATAAAGGATAAAATGCAGGTAAAATGACATTATTAATTATTAATCATTTTTACGTTAATTCGGCCCACCATACATTATCCACATATTGCATGTATAATGGATGTGATAAATGCGTAATTGCATGGCATTGTACAGATATGGTCACGATGATATCTGTATTGTATAGATATGGTCACGATGATGTGGGAAACTATGAAACTATTCATCCATGCAATTTCGGTCATTTATATTTTCTTTTTTGGGTTTGACAAAGAAAGGAAAATCTTTCGAAGTATCACAGTGAATAATTTGACCCGAAATTATGGTGGAAATTTATGAGTAAAATTGAAATATGAAAAGAATGGGACAATAACTTTCGGTGATAGTTTGCATATCAGCAATTCGGATAATATCGTATGATAAAGTCTATTTTAATTTGAAAATTTGAACAGAAAAAAATGATGATGTATTGTGAGAAAAGAAAGATTTAACATTTGACCTGTTTCGGTTTCTTACTGATTACTATTTTCTTTTTATTTTCATTTCTCATTTATAAAACACTTTGAATTATTTATGAGAAAGAATGTATTGATGAGAAAAATTCTTTTAATTTTTTTTTTTGAAATTCTTATTACTTACTTCGTTTTTCTTCTGTTTTAAATTTACTGCATGTTAGAAATAAAATCAGTGCATAAAAGGAAAGATTTTATTATAAGTATTTTTCTGCGCAATTATTTCGAACTAATTTTAAACTGAAGGGACAATTTTAAATCATATCTTTCTTACAATATAATAAGTGTAGTAATTTTAACGATTTAATTAACAAAAAATTATTTTTAAATTTAAATCAGTTAGTTGAAGAGATAATTTTTTCAGAAAGCACTGCGGAAAGATTCAGGTCTTTCAAAGAAGGTCTATATGGAAAGGTCTATTTTTTATTCCTGAATAAAAATTCATGGATTGCTAGGAAGAATTAAATTATGGATATAGAAGGATTCATAGGCATATAAAGAGGAATTTATTTATTAACAGCTTTCATAGGCATGAATAAGAAAATTTGGTCATGAAAAAATTAAATGGGTGTAATAGGCTCAAAATTTATGGATGTATGATGTATTAAATGCCAATTAATAAGAGATCATCATTAATGATCCTCATAAATTAGTGAATTGTTAAATTGGAATCTTTCTGAATTCCAATTGGAAAAATAAATTCAAGAATGAAATAGTACCTGAGTAGGTGACAATTGCACCTGAATGATTTGACAAATATTTAATTATTGATTGGCTGGAATATAGTTGTGGTAAAATATGCAAAATTAGTGAAGAAAACTGAAATAAAGCGATGGAATATCCGGAAAACCACTTAAACAATGGTAATTTTAACGATTTAATTGACGAAAAATTATTTTTTAATTTAAATCAGTTAGTTGAAGAGATAATTTCTGGGGTAGGAAGAATGAAAGAAAATTGGAGACAAAAAATTGCAACCTTGATATCATCAATCGATTAATCAGTCAATCAACTAATTAATCATTCAATCATCGATTAACCGCTAAAATTCGAATCTTTCCAACAAATTATATAAATTCTCTTGCTATCTTCAACTACAGAAGTAAATAATATTTTAATTTAGCAAGTAATTTATTAGTTAATGAATTTCGGTATTACGCATTTACCTTAAATATTTCAATAATATCAGTATTTAAATTATTATCACTAAAATATAAAGGAAGAAAATTTTTTTAATTTCAAGTTTTTAATTATGAAAACATTCCATTCGTACTTTTTTTAAAAAAATTTATTTATCAAAATTGGTTATGCTGTTTTGATGTGGGATGTGGAAGATGGAAGGAAAGGAAAGAGAAGATGTTGCTTGTTTAAAAGTACTATTTTTTCTCTCCCTCTTTCCCATAATATAAAATATTCTTTTCATGAAAGTAAAAAAAAAATTTGAAGAGAAAAAGAGAAAAACTAAATGAATGCGAACGGGAGAGAGAGAAAAAAAAATGAAAGAAAAAATTTTTTTTTTTTAAGTTTGCGTCATTCTTTTCCTCTTTTTTTCATTTTCAATTGCTTCCATAAAATTTAGCAATAAATTTTGTCCAATCTGTGTGCTTCCGCGTAAGCTATTTCATAAATGAAAAACTAACTGAATCGGAGAGAAGGAAAGCAATGATAATGAAGCAACTAAATAAGAAAAAAGAAATAGAATTCTTTTCATAGAAATGTTAGAAGAAACCGATTTATATGATTCCTTTATGACCTCTATAGGTCATTTATCACTTCTCATAAAGTGGCCATATTCTATCTTCCTCTAATATAGCTCAGAAAATAAAATCAAAGCTTGTTTATATGTAAACACAGTTATAGATATTAAAATAATGGATGAAAATGATAATAAATGAATTTGATAATTGACAATAGTAAACAAGTAAATTTCGTCACTAAAAAATTCATTACTGAAATGGAATTAAATCACTTGTAAATTTGGCCTTATATGCAAAACATATTAGAGTATTAAAATAAAGTTGTTGCAAATTTCTGCAAAAAAGACTTTCTGTTTGCATCTAAATTTAATTTATCGAAATACAATAAGCTGGCATGATATTTGTTGCCATGACAGCTACAAATTTGCATAATTAAGAAACAATTCAAAAGCATGAAAAACAAAGCACATGAAAGGAGAGGGAGAGAGAATTGAAAGTTTTATTTGAAATTAAAAATGTATAAGGTTTTGCTGAGAATGGCAGGCAGCATTATTGTATGCTTGCCATTTGATGTGTCTGTGAATGAAAATGAATAAATATCATATTTTCACATTTAACTAAATGAGAATTGAGAAAGAGAGGGGAAGAGAAAAAGCGAGACGAAAAGGGAGAAAGAGGGAGAGAGAATTTTCAATGTTTGTTTATGAGGAACGAGCGAGTGGATATTCATTATCAACAATATTGAAGTTTGATGACAACGGTTACACACCTATTCAATAGTAGTAGTATGCAGTAATAGCATTTCGAGACTTTCGTTTTAAAAGAAATGACCTTTCAAAAGAGAGAGAGAGAGAGAGAGAGAAAGGGAGAAAGAAGTATGTCCATTTCTCTCGAACTTTTATAGAGCTAATCAGTAAAATTCTAACCTTTCGAGCGTAAATTCCTGGAAAAAAACATAAAAGTAGTACCCGCATCATATGGTAATGATAATATCAGATTATAACAATCAGTTTATAGCAATAATGGGCTAAAAAATAATGATCATACTTATGAAAACTAATTTCAAATTTAGATATAAAACACAACAAATGACCATTAATAGTACAGACTATTTCCTATACAGTTCCAAAATGACCATTAATTGAAACAAAATTTTATAATTGATTTATAGATAAATAAACAGAGGTGCAAATAGGAAATTATCAATAAAATATCATGTAACTCATCTTATTGAACCATAAGACATACTCACAAAGTAAATACTCACAAACAACAGTTATCTAATAATCCAATAATAAATTAATTAATAATAAATGTAGTTAAAATAATATCGTTTAAAAAAATATTCCGGTAAACATATGTTTTCATTATATGAAACGTATAGTATATCTAAATGAAAATCTTAAATTTTTAAAAATTTTTACAATTTTTTCACATAAATAAATTTTTGTAAAAGTATTATGGGAAAAACGATGGAATGATTCTGAGTATATTCCTATAATTTTTTTTTGTTGTTGCTGTTGAGAATGTCAGTATTGTTGTTGTTATTATTGATTAATTGGCTTCGAGATTTATTTTGTTCAACACTATCACTAAATAATTTATCTGCATTAAATTCTTTAATGGATCAATGAGAATAGAACTATTTTAAAAAATATTTCATTATTCAAATGCACATGCTACTGTACAAATAAAGCAATTTGTACAATAAACTGTGGTCAGTTATTTTTAGAAGTGAACATTACTGTTACGTGTAAAGAAATGGTAATATGAATAGCAATTAACGTATTTTACGTAAGTTTTTGAAAATTTTCTCCTGTATATTAAGGTGTTATTATTAAAATATAATAAAAACTTTTTAGGATTTCTTTAGACATTTTTTTTTTTTTATTCAAACAAACAGTAATTAATTTGCACACTTCACACATTTACATAGTTTACGCTAAATTATGCGTTGGCATTACTTAATGCTTTCAAATTATGTTATGCGATATTAATTTATTTAATGGGTTTCCCTTTTTTTTTTCTTTCTTCAACGATGTATTCATCAGAAATAAAATGATGGTAAAGGTGAAAGGCGAAAGTAAAAATAAAAATGATTGCAGCGAAGCATGTATTATTAAGTAAAATATTTGAAATAAATTAATTTTAAAGCTTTTCGCATCTGTTTACATTTATCACAGATTTGTTTACACACAGACTAAAATGGTAAAAAAGGAAAAAAAAAAAAGAAATAAGCAAATACGAATGTGAGATCAATTTCTGCCTTTAAAACATTTCAATAGTATATACAATGGAAAAATAGTTTGAACAACGATTTTCACTAAACAAAACAAACAGTTTGAGCATCTGTGATAACGCAATCATCATCATCATCATCATCATAATCAACATCACCATCATCATCAATATCATCATCATCATCATCATCAATGTCATCATCAATAGTAGTCAACAATAATGAATTATCGACCTAATTGTAATGCAAACAGTAAAAGAGAGAGGAGCAATGGTGATGATCCAATTATTCATGGGAATCATTTTGTTCTGATTCTTTCACCGATTTAAAACATACAACTGTGTCACTGCGATATTTCGTCACCCTATACTATACTGCTTCATTACGAATAAAATAAAAAGTTTAAATTTTTTTGAAAAATTTTTGCAAACAATTATTAATCATAATTTTATGTTTAACCAAGTTAAATGAAGTTAAATGATTTTCACGAAAATTTAATGCGTAATGAGAGGATGGAAAATTAGTATATCCGGATAATTTGTTATAATTTTGCAAAAATTTCGTGTCATTTACATCATCAAAATTCTTTAAATATCAAATGAAAAGTTTTCCCGATCATTAACAGTAATTGATGAAGTAAAAATTTAACTTTGAATTAAAATTTCATTTCACTTTTTTGCACATAATGTTGACAATAAAAAAAAAAGTCAATAAAGATTGCCTTGTAAAAATTGCTATTTCTTTCAATTAAATTTTGCAGAAATTGAAAATAATCGAAGAGTTTACTCATTAACACATTTAATTTATTCCTGACTAAAATTATTTGTACAATAATTTGAAGACGAAAATTTTCCTTTACTTACAAAACATTGAATAAAATTAAAGTGCACAAAATGAAAGCAATGAATGTGTATGTGTATGCATGTGTGTGTGTGTGTGTATGTGTGTGCGTGTATGTGTGTGTGTATGTGTGTCGTGTGCATAAAATTGAGTAAATTGGTGACCATGAGCCGGTTTTAAGCACATTTATTTTTTCAATTTTTTTCATGCAATTTTGAATATTTTCAAAATGATAAATAATGGATAGTTTTCTTAAGAGAAAAAAGAAAATAACAAAAATGTCAATTTAAAAAATTTTAATTTATAAATATATGCAAAACATGTCATGAATAAGAGGAAAAAGGGTGATCACAGTATCAATTTATTGTATTTTTGGACTTAAAAAAAAAAACAAAATTGCTTTTTTTCAATTAATTATTCGAAACAAATATAAATGAAGTAAGCTGAATTGAAAGAGGAACATAAAGAAAGGGAGAAATCGAGGGAGCGAATGAAATTAATATGTCATCGAAATTTATTAAAATAATTTGGAGAATTATTTCCTTTTTAGTAATGGAAAAAAAAGCAGATTAATTTAAAAAAATTTTATGCTTAAATTCATGTTTCGCTGATGCACAAATTTAAAGAAACAACTTAAGTGTGATAACATAATAACTTTTGTAAAAGTTAATTAGAAGGTATAACTTATACATTTAATTAGCTTAATATATATATATATAAGTACAATTAAAATGGAAATATTTATTTCTGTAATCTTTTTAATGCATAAGTAACTATATTAATTGAGAAATAATTATAAAAATCACATGTTTTACATAAAGATAAAAATTATTTTCAATTTAGTTTTAAGCATTAAAAAATGCTATTTCTGAATTGCATAACAAACAATTCTATATTTAATGATATTATATTTTAGAATTATTACGCCAATATGTTGCATTGTTAAATACCTAATTCAATGTTCACGTTAGAATTACGTGAAAGATAACGCTGGAGATATTGGCATAATACTACTATCATTTAAAGAAACGATAAAAAATTTATTCAAATCAAAATGAGGAAGAATAAAGAATTTACGTGCTGGTGTTGAAGAAGGAAGAGAAGAAAGAGAATCAATCAATTAGGTATGTGATAAACCGGTTCAGGTGAGTGTATCATTGAATGATGAATACAACGATGTGACCATAAAACAGTTATTTGATAAAATTGATGAAATTTTAATAGGTGCATGTAAAAAGGATTCATAACTGTTTATAATTGTTTATAATGTGCAATGATCAATATCAGTGATATAACAATGTGACATAAATTATGATCATAACTTATCATTGTAATCTGAGATTTTGCTAACACTTAAAATTTGTTTATTCGATAATTTTGATTGCAAATTTTTGCCGGCAATCATAAAAATTATGCAATTTAACGTTAACGTTACGTTTAAAGGATTACGTAGGATAAAATATGAACATAATGGCATGCTATTATTATCGTTCAAAGAAGAAAAAAATTTATTCAAACAATAATAAATATATTAAAAAAATATTATTTTTCAGTTATGCAAAAAACAATTTTTTACTTGGTGAAATTTATGTCTTCGAA